AATCAAGAGATCACTGAAGAAATCAAAGAGGAAATCAAAAAATACCTAGAGACAAATGACAATGAAAACACGATGATCCAAAACCTATGGGATGCAGCAAAAGCAGTTCTAAGAGGGAAGTTTATAGCTATACAAGCCTACCTCAAGAAACAAGAAAAATCTCAAATAAACAATTTAACCTTACATGTAAAGGAACTAGAGAAAGAAGAACAAACAAAACCCAAAGTTAGCAGAAGGAAATAAATCATAAAGATGAGAGCAGAAATAAATGAAACAGAGACAAAGAAAATAATAGCAAAGATCAATAAAACTAAAAGCTGGTTCTTTGAGAAGATAAACAAAATTGATAAACCATTAGCCAGACTCATCAAGAAAAAGAGGGAGAGGACTCAAATCAATAAAATTAGAAATGAAAAAGGAGAAGTTACAACAGACACTGCAGAAATACAAAGCATCCTAAGAGACTACTACAAGCAACTCTATGCCAATAAAATGGACAACCTGGAAGAAATGAACAAATTCTTAGAAAGGTATAACCTTCCAAGACTGAACCAGGAAGAAATAGAAAATATGAACAGACCAATCACAAGTAATGAAATTGAAACTGTGATTAACAATCTTCCAACAAACAAAAGTCCAGGACCAGATGGCTTCACAGGTGAATTCTATCAAACATTTGGAGAAGAGCTAACACCCATCCTTCTCAAACTCTTCCAAAAAATTGCAGAGGAAGGAACACCCTCAAACTCATTCTATGAGGCCACCATCACCCTGATACCAAAACCAGACAAAGATACTACAAAAAAAGAAAATTACAGACCAATATCACTGATGAATATAGATGCAAATATCCTCAACAAAATACTAGCAAACAGAATCCAACAACACATCAAAAGGATCATACACCATGATCAAGTGGGATTTATCCCAGGGATGCAAGGATTCTTCAATATACGCAAACCAATCAATGTGATACACCATATTAACAAACTGAAGGAGAAAAAATGTATGATCATCTCAATAGATGCAGAAAAAGCTTTTGAAAAAATTAAACACCCGTTTATGATAAAAACTCTCCAGAAAGTGGGCATAGAGGGAACCTACCTCAACATGATAAAGGCCATATACGACAAATCCACAGCAAACATCATTCTCAATGGTGAAAAACTGAAAGCATTTCCTCTAAGATCAGGAGCGAGACAAGGATGTCCACTCTCACCACTATTATTCAACAAAGTTTTGGAAGTCCTAGCCACGGCAATCAGAGAAGAGAAAGAAAAGGAATCCACAGAAGAATTAAAACTGTCACTGTTTGCAGATGACATGATACTATACATAGAGAATCCTAAAGATGCCACCCGAAAACTACTAGAGCTAATCAATGTATTTGGTAAAGTTGCAGGATACAAAATTAATGCACAGAAATCTCTTACATATACACTAATGATGAAAAATCTGAAAGAGAAATTAAGGAAACACTCCCATTTACCATTACAACAAAAAGAATAAAATACCTACGAATAAACCTACCTAGGGAGACAAAAGACCTGTATGCAGAAAGCTATAAGACACTGATGAAAGAAGTTAAAGAGGATACCAACAGATGGAGAGATATACCATGTTCTTGGATTGGAAGAATCAATATTGTGAAAATGACTATACTCCCCAATGCAATCTACAGATTTAATGTAATCCCTATCAAATTACCAATGGCATTTTTTACGGAACTAGAACAAATAACCTTAAAATTTGTATAGAGACACAAAAGACCCCGAATAGCCAAAGCAATCTTGAGGGGAAAAAACGGAGCTGGGGAATCAGACTCCGTGACTTCAGACTATACTAGATAGCTACAGTAATCAGGACAAAATGGTAGTGGCACAAAAATAGAAACACAGATCAATGGAACAAGATAGAAAGCCCAGAGAGAAACCCACACATCTATGGTCAACTAATCTATGACAAAGGAGGCAAAGATATACAATGGAGAAAAGACAGTCTCTTCAATAAGTGGTGCTGGATAAACTGGACAGCTACATGTAAAAGAATGAAATTAGAACACTCCCTAATACCATACACAAAAATAAACTTAAAATGGATTCAAGACCTAAATGTAAGACTGGACACTATAAAACTCTTAGAGGAAAACGTAGGAAGAACACTCTTTGACATAAACCACAGCAAGATCTTTTTTGATCCACCTCTTACAGTAATGGAAATAAAAACAAAAATAAACAAATGGGACCTAATGAAACTTGAAAGCTTTTGCACAGCAAAGGAAACCATAAACAAGACAAAAAGACAACCCTCAGAATGGGAGAAAATATTTGCAAATGAATCAACGGACAAAGGATTAATCTCCAAAATATATAAACAGCTCATGCAGCTCAATATTAAAAAAACAACAACCCAGGGCTTCGCTGGTGGCGCAGTGGTTGAGAGTCTGCCTGCCGATGCAGGGGACATGGGTTCATGTCCGGGTCCAGGAAGATCCCACATGCTGCGGAGCGGCTGGGCCCGTGAGCCATGGCTGCTGAGCCTGCGCGACCGGAGCCTGTGCTCCACAACGGGAGAGGCCACAACAGTGAGAGGCCCACGTACCGAAAAACAAAACAAAACAAAAAAAACAGCCCAATCCAAAAATGGGCAGAAAACCTACATAGACATTTCTCCAAAGAAGACATACAGATGGCCAAGAAGCACATGAAAAGCTGCTCAACATCAATAATTATTAGAGAGATGCAAATCAAAACTACAATGAGGTATCACCTCATACCAGTTAGAATGGGCATCATCAGAAAATCTACAAACAATAAATGCTGGAGAGGGTGTGGAGAAAAGGGAACCCTCTTGCACTGTTGGTGGGAATGTAAATTGATACAGCCACTATGGAGAATAGTATGGAGGTTCCTTAAAAAAATAAAATTAGAATTACCATATGACCCAGCAATCCCACTACTGGGCATATACCCAGAGAAAACCATAATTCAAAAAGACACATGCACGTCAATGTTCATTGCAGCACTATTTACAATAGCCAGGTCATGGAAGCAACCTAAATGCCCACCGACAGACGAATGAATAAAGAAGTTGTGGTACATATACACAATGGAATATTACTCAGCCATAAAAAGGAACGAAGTTGAGTCAGTTGTTGAGATGTGGATGGATCTAGAGACTGTCATACAGAGTGAAGTAAGCCAGAAAGAGAAAAACAAATATCGTACATTAACACATGCATGTGGAACCTAAAAAAATGGTACAGATAAACCGGTTTGCAGGGCAGAAGTTGAGACACAGATGTAGAGAACAAATGTATGGACACCAAGTGGGGAAAACCGTGGGGGGGTGGGGATGGTGGTGTGCTGAACTGGGTGATTGGAATTGACATGTATACACTGATGTGTATAAAATTGATGACTAATAAGAACCTGCTGTATAAAAAAAAGGGATTTACTATATACTTATTTATCCTTGGTATTATGATTACCATTAAAATTGTTACATCTTACTATTAAATTGTTTAAATTATTAAATTTACTGTTACAAAGTTTTTTGATAAATAGAGTTTTGCCTTTTAAGGTTTTGGGATTTAACAGTGCCATCTGCCACTACCTCAGTTGTCCTTTTTCTTCCTGTGTTCTCAGAGAAATAAATATATATAGTGAGTTTTTATTTTCCGATTTTCTGCAATATTGGCTTTGAGGGTTGTAAAAGATATTGAAATGTCAGAGCAAAAATTTTTTTTAATACCTGTATGTATTTTCAGAATTTTTTCCCCCAAATGAGCAGGAGTGTATAAAGATTAAAACATAGATTTATCTTGTATTATCTCTAAATTTATCTTATATTACTACTTCTTGTTACCCTGTGTTTTACTTGCATGGCACATATTATATTTTTAAGGTTTCTCCCTCCCTCCCTCCCTCCCTTAGCCTTTTCCTCCGTCTATACATAGTTATAAGCAGCTTCGACATTTCAGAAACTGTGCTAGGTGTGGGGAACGCATTGCCCTGACTTCAAGTACCTATCAATCTGGCTGAGAGGTGTGCTCTGGAACTATATAGATGGGGACAGAATGGTATGGGGAGAAGGGATGGGAATGGGAATGGGATGGGAATCTGGGACAGCTTCTGGAAGAAGTAATCTTCAAGCAGAGGTGAGACTGAGTAGGATTTGTGAGATGAACTGAAGGTTTGAGAAATGGAGCAAAGGAAGTAGCATGTGTGAAGGCCTGGAGATGAGAGAAAACATGGCATTTACAGGACTGGTGAGACATTCAGTAGGTTGGAGAAGATAGTTCAGAGGATAGTAGCTACAGATGATGCTGATAAGGTAAGTAGAGGTCAAATCATGAATAATAATGATGATAATAACAATAATAGTGATAGGTAAAACTTATTAGACAAAGTCTATTTCTAGGTACAGCTGTAAACACTAAATGAATTTACTAACTGAATTCTATGAGGTAGATACTATTACTAACCCCATTTTACAGAGGGCCTTGTATACTATGCTAATGATCATCAGAAGCTATTGAATGGTTTGAGAGACTGGATATAAAAACAGACAAAGGCCAGACTATATCTAGCAACAGAACTCTGTCCTACAACCTCTGTAGCAACCAACCTGGGGAGTCAAACCACAACTTCTGCAGCAACTGGCTCAGAAAAGTCAGTATCTGGTCAATGATTGTCAGATTCCCTATTTTTTACCCCAATTTGTCTCTCAGGGCCAACCAGAAAAAGACAAGTATGCTTCCCAAATCAATCACACAGGTTGCCTTGCTTCTAGCTAGCTCACTTCCAGCTTCCCCAAGGCAACAGCCTCCAACCAGAGCAATACAGAAGCCTCCCTTTTATTCACTGTAAAGCTCCCCTGCCTGTCTTGGGAGTCTCTGCTAAATGTAAGCAATGCTGGCAGATTCTCTTTCTATAGCAAGCTCTGAACAGCAAGCCCCTGTTCGTTCTCACTAGGGTGGTCTTCATTGATTTCCACAGGTTTTAACCAGAGGAATGTAACAATAAAAAAGATAATTCTGTCTGCTGAGACTGAGCTGGAAAGATCTAGACTGGAGGTGGGAGACCAGTCTGTGACTTCAGGCCTTGACTAAGGCAGTGGCAATCGGGATACACAACAATGAATGGAATGAAAAGCATCAAGGAGGCAGAATCAGCAGGACCTTATGAGTGATTTGATTTGGTGGGAAAGAGAAGGAAAAGGTAAGGAGGACGGACAGGCTTGAGGAATTACATAAGTGGTTGGCACCATTTGCTGAGACAGGGATGCTGGAGGGAGAAGCTTGTGTTGAGGCTGGAAATGAGTTAAATTTGGGGCAGAGATTTCTAAGTCACAGGCTTAAAGTAATAATTGGAACAGTCTGGGTAAATGAGATCACACAGGCAGGGTATAGAAGAGAGAACATATGGATGTAAAAATAAAAATAATTGCTGTTATTATCATCATAAGATGTTTATGGAGAAATTGTAAAAACATTTAACAAAACCTTTTAAGATCAAAAGCTTAATAAACTGCTTTGAAGAAAACTAGACCTCCACTACGTCAAGTTATAGAATGAACTTATTTTCCCACTTTACCAAGGAACATTTCAAAGGGGGAAAGTCCTGCTCCTTTGATACTTAGTTATAGGGAAAGGATCTAACATTTATTATGGTCCATTAATGTGTCTGGTACGTTATATCTTAATTAATCCTCAAATATACCATATGAAGATAGATTATCCCTGTTGTTGAAACTGAGGCCCTGATATCTAACTTGTTAAGGTCACATAGCTAGTATATGGGCTAGCAGGGCTGTCTGATGCAGAAACACTGGTTCTTTGCACCTTCATTCTCTGCCTGACTTCTCAGCTGACCACAGAGGCTACTTCTAGCAATTACTCCAAAGCAGGGGTAGGCAATTTAAGGACACAGTCCATGGCAGTATTACAGATAGTGGCAGGATATGACATCAACTAGCAGATTGTGCAGGTTCTCAGAGGGAAAGCAAATTTGGGCAAGGAAGCTCAGCCATGATACTATGCAAGTGAAAATGAAAAACTAATCGCAATCATATTTATTCTACAAATATTACTGTGTGCTTCCATTGTGCCATTGTTCTAAGTGCTGAAGATATGGTATTGAATAAACACAAAAAATCTCCTGCTTTTATAAAGAATTGATATGCTTTGGGGGAGACAATAAGTTATACAGTGTATTGCAAGATAATGCTCTGGAGAAACGGGAGTAGAAAGTGCTAGGATGCTTAAGCAGTGGTCGGCAAAAGACTCACAGAGTGGGTAAAATTTCAGCAGTCTTGAAGGAGGTAAGGGAACAAGCCATGGATAAGAAGGGGAAAACTTCCAGGCAGTGGGCATAGCAAGTGCAGAGGCCCTTAGGCAGGGTATACCTGGCATGGTTGAGGAGATGCTAGGAGGCCAGTGTGGCTGGAACACAGAAGGCTTTATCAGCTACTAATGAGGACTTAAATTTCTACTCTGAACTCAGAGTTGAGAGGGGAGGGACACTCAAGTATTAAGATATATGTTCTACACTTAAGGAGAGGGAGAGACAAAACAAGACAAATGAAATAGTAACAAACATAAAACAACTGATAATTAGGTGAGAAACTCAGACCAAGGACTACACCCATTTATGAGAAGAAGGTCTGTGAGAGTGAAAATGAATGGGAAGTATGTCCTATTGGGGGTTACTTTATGGTGGAGAGGTAGGATCTAAAGGTAGGGTAAGATTTAAATTCAGAAAAGAGGGGAGGGCATTCATTCAATACATATTTAATATCCCCTCCTGTGTACCAGGCGTTGTGCTGGGTGCTACTGGGGGATAATAGGGGACACTACAGAAAAAAACAACAGAGAAGGTTTCTGCCCTCATGAAGGTGGCACTAAGCAGAGTACGTGGTACAGATAAAGTACAGACTATACATTGGGAAACCTCGCAAACAGGACAATAAGTGGACCTGAGGCACTCTGAGGATGGCAGACCCCTTAGATACCATCTAGTTCAGTGGTTCTGAGGCTAAAAATCACTTAAAGGATAATGATTAAGTAAATCTAGGGAAGGACCCAGCTATGTACAGGGTTTTTTAAGAAAAGCTCCTCAGATGACTGTGATGGTCACCCAAGTTTGGGGAACACTCATCTAGTACAGGCTTGTTTTACAGAAAAGGGAACAGGTTTAGAGAGTTGAGTGATCTGGTCAATGTAATGATATTAAGCGAGGGAAGCAATAAGGAGCTACTGCAGAAGCCTGAAAGAAAGAACAGGTGGGACTCAGAGGTAGCAAGGAGGATGGTAAAGTGGTGTTTATGGCGAATGGAGTGGGAAGCGAGGAAGAGGTGAGGCCCAAAGGATGTGACATTAATCCAGGATTGACTGAGGCATTGTGGTGACAGGAAAGGAGAGCAAGTAGTTCTTTTTTTTTTTAAAAACAGAGTTTTAATTTTGTTTTACTCCTTTCTTTCCCTCTCTGCCCTCCTTTGTTTTTTTTTTGTTTTGTTTTTCTTCTGTATGCGGGCCTCTCACTGTTGTGGCCTGTCCCGTTGTGGAGCACAGGCTCCAGACGCGCAGGTTCAGCGGCCATGGCTCACGGGCCCAGCCGCTCCGCGGCATGTGGGATCTTCCCGGACCGGGGCACGAACCCGTGTCCCCTGCATCGGCAGGCGGACTCTCAACCACTGCGCCACCAGGGAAGCCGCAAGTAGTTCTTTTAAAGCCCCATTTGGTACCATATCATCTGACCTGGCAGGGGGAGCGTTGGAATTTTTATTGTTGTTGTTTACTTTGTTTTATAATCTGAGTCCATGTAAAACCATCTCCTATGGCTTTCCAGGAGTTAGCTGCTGTGAAACTGTCACACTGTACATACCATACTGCAGCTATGATACACTAAGTGTTGCTGCTCTGAGTGGAAAATGGAGTCCTTCAACCAGTAGCAATGGCATCACCTGAAAACCTGTTAGAAAAGCAGAATCCAGGGCTCCACCCAGACCTACAGAATTAGAATCTATATCGTTTAATAAGTTCCCCAGGTGCTCCAAATGCACATTAAATTTTGAATAATCACTGCTCCAAAGGGCTTCTGATTCTTTATAATAAGAGGAACAACATTTAAATAAATAGGAAATAGATAAAGGGTGAACAATTTGTGATTTCTCAAGCATATGATGAAGGTGGCTTAATGGATTGAGGTAGACTCCACATTCTCACTTTAAGCTACTAGGATATACTGTACTGTCACTAGGAAGAGGAGGAGGCTGCAAATATGGAAAGGTTTGAAAAGATTGGAAACATTTAGAGTTCCAAGGCAGAGGTGTATAAAGGTTATCATTTTAAGTGGCAAAGAGCACTAGACTCCACTCCCAGTAAAGAAACTGAGTAACTCTCAGTTAACTTCTCGTGGCCTTAGGGTCCTCATTTGTAAAAACAACCACAAACAAAACCCAGGAAGGCTTAGAGACCATTTCTCCCAGCTCTAAGATGTCTTTATTCAATTTCCTTTCTTTTGGTAGAAACTGCCTTTTTCTTCAGTACTATAAAAAATGTTAATATCCCTAGAAGCAGTTATTAACAGGGTAGGAACTTTAATTAATACAAACTGATTTCTTCCCGGAGGAGAAACCTAGGCCCTGTAAGAAGAGGCAGTAATGAAACAGGAAAAGAAAGGGAAGGGAGAAAATAAACACACATATACACAGGTATACTTGTTCTGCATTATTTGATACATTGTGGACTATTTTGGCAACAGCCTGTTAAAAGTATTTCCCCTTTTTTCTTCTTTTTAACCCACTCTTGCCTGCCTCCTATAACCTTGAGACCCCATCCCTTCTTTTTTTTTAATACCAAGTAAAGGAAGAATGACAGCCATCAGATACCAAATTCACCTACTCGTCAGTTTTGCCCCATGCCTGGGAGAACAGCAGTAGTGTTGAGCCCCCTTGCAGCCTTGGGAGTGAAGGGACCGCTGTTGTTCCTCAAAATCATCTGCACCTGGATTGGAATACTTCCACAAACCCGATTAGGTAAATTCCCCTAACACCTGCTCCTCCTCATGCAGAAGTTTTGTTTCTCTGTGGGTTGAATGTCTGGCCATCTTCAGAGAGTGCAACCCTACTCCCACCATAGAAGAGGTCCCCAGTCAACTAGCCTCTCCTAAGGAACTCTCCAAGCCTCCAGGATGTGGACGCAGGAGACAAGGTTCCTGACGCAGCCTGAGACTTGTGAAGCCTCAGCAGGAATTCCCATAGTAGCCTCACACCATCAGCGTGAGGAGGTAGGGCAAATTTCCTCCATAGAATTCACGTTAATTTAAGGCTTGATCATGGATCTCTGGGGAAGAGCAATGGAACCCTAGTATGAAACAAACGCCTTGGAGTTTCTAAACACCCTCGCTACGAGTGGAGATCCAAGCCAGGGTTCTGAAGTGAAATTTCTCAACAGAAATTCGAAAGAACTAGTTTTGTAAGACAAAGAGTAAACTAAAAACCAAATACAAGCACAATAAATCAATTCTATTCGATCCCAATTCTCTCCGACGCACTTCTAACCAGCTTCCAATTTCATATAAAAATGTTGCTAAATTTCTAATTTTAATAGTATTTCCCTCCCCTCCAGGTGCAGGTTTTGGTAGCAGCAAATTTAAACACGGGAGGATTTACTCCTATATCAAGAACATCACACGATAACAGCGATCTACATATAAAAGCCCAGTGCAAACAAAGGGGTCATCAAATCCAAGTTTTCGTTAAGAATGTTTCCCTCCCTCTCAGGTCCTTCGTGGGGTCACACTTTTCGAAGAAAAGCCGCCGAACCTTACCTACTCAGTTTACTGGGACGCTCCGGGAGGACCTCGAGACACGAGTCCCCAGACAGGTTGGTCGACGACAGCCGACTCCCCTCGCAGGCGGCGCAGTTCTCAAAGGGATCAGCTTTGAGCTTGGAACCACAGTCCCCCGGGCTCCCCTGGTTTCCCCTCAGGCCCCCGTTTCCTCCCTTGCTGCCCCCAGGCATCATCTCCGCCCCCAGATCTCAACCCCTGCCCCCGCCTTCACACCCTCCAAAGCACAGACACCGGGCCATACCTGCTCTTCCTCGTCCTCCGTCACCACCCCGACTACCGGGATTTGGCGAGGGCTGCTGAACTTGATCGTGCTGCCGGGTGCCCGGGCCTGGGCCGTCGCCGCAGCCTCTGCTGTAGACATGGCTGTGCGGCGGCGTGAGGGGTGGGGGGTGTCCTCCTGTCCTACATTGTGCCCGCAGCCGCGAGACTGCAAGAGGCCCCGCCACCGAGAAGTGAAAGCCGCCTGAGAGCCACTAGAGTCGCGAAAGGTCCCGGGGGTCCGGCCGTGGACTCGGCCACCGCGACGCCACCCGCGTCCCGCGGAGGCAGCCCACCGGCGTACCTACGCAGCCTGCTTGCTGGCAGGTTGTTAACAAGCCAATGCGTTGCTAGAGGCGGGGCCAGAGGCTGCTGGAGCGCCAGCACCTACGGAAGCCCGAGGATCCAAACTACCCCAAACTCTTATCTGAACCTCTAAACTTGGAGGGGCTGGGTTTGCTTGCGTACCAGAAAAAGCGGGGGAAGACCTCGGTATGTAACAGTGGAGTGTTACCTTGGCGACATGTGCGTCTCAGTCTTTGTAGTTTGCGCTGGGCCTCCTTGAAACAAGCATGGGCGGGTGGAGGGATGAGGGATGGATGTGGGATGCAGGAATGATGGATGATGAACTGATAATGTTGGAAGCTGAAGCAGTTTATCTCACCCCGGAGAAGTGACTAGTGTCACCTACATTCCCCAGCCTTTTACCTCTTCTGTACTTTAGTGGCTCTCCCAGACAATTAAATAACCACCAAGGCATTGTACACAATGTTAGAAGGCTTTCGAGTCAAATTATTGAATCTGGAGCAAGTAAACCCCTGGAAGCCCCATTTTTCTCATAATTTTTTCACTTTTCTCATCAATAGGATTGCCGTGAGAGGACAGAATGAAATGATAGTTTTGTAAAGTGGTACTTGGTACATAATAAGCAAGATGATCTGAATGACATTTCTGGCCCTACAAATAAAAAGAAATGGAAAACCTAGATTGGGCTTGGCAGCACTTGATGTGAATCACAGCCAAAGAAACCAAGTTTCTTTGAAAGAGTACTGAGCACTTCCAATCCCTATTTACTCAATTCTATTCATTCTTCGGCTTTCCTCAACTGCCCTAACTGAGGTCACAACACTTGTGGTAAAATTTTGTGGACACTTTCTTGTCCTCATTTTGGTGTACTTGTCTGTAGTATTTTACACTGTTGACCACTCACGCTTTCTTGAAACTCCCTAGCTCGGACTTCAGCATTCTTTTTGTTTTTTTATCTTTACAACTACTCATTGGTGCTTTTAGAGCTCCTCTCAGGCCTTACACCTAGAAGTGGTTCAGTAGGTCTAAGGCTGCTATTAACCCGAGAAAGTGCAAAGGGTGTGTCAAGTGTATTATTAACATAACCTTAATTGTTGTTGTACATTCCAAGTATACTACATCAAGAGGAGACTGAAACCACTTGGATAAACACAGTGGAATCCTGTGAGAACAGCACCCAAGCCTAAGATGGTGGTGGGAAAGCTGATAATCTGATGATTTGCTATCCTTTGTGCGCTCATCCGGCATCTCAAGATGAGGAAGGACAAAGAGGAGGGATTGCCAAGGAAAATTTCCCATTTAAAGTGGAGCTTGCCTAGGAGATATCAACTGACTTTTGTGATTCAGCACAGTAGACTGAAGCTGATAAGGGTCCATAAATCTCAATGGCCCTGAGAAGTCAGACTCTCCTCACTGGACTTGACTGAAGACATTTCCCTAACGAATGAACAACAGGATTTTTGTTTTATTTTAACCAACTGTGTACCGACCTATAGATTCATTCTGTCCCATATCCAGAGCACGAGTTTCCCATCCTTAATTAGCACTACTCCCATGAACTCCCCCTTTCTAGCACTTAAAAACTTTTGACTTTTCCCCATCAGTGAAATTCTTCATAGAATGGGTTCCCTTACCAGGAAGTTAATAGATCTAACTTTGTAATTTTTATCAGCTCTAATGGTTTTTGTTTTATCTTTTGACAGGTGAAAAGCAGCCAGAATGGAAGTCCTCAAACACCCCACACTCAAGCCATCTGGACTGAATTACTTGCAGTTTTTCACAGGTGCCAAACTTCCTCCTGCATTACCTTTGCATATGTTGTACATGTGACTGTCTTCTGATGTCTAACTCCTTATAAGACTCAGCTCCTGTGACCTTTTCTAGGAAACCTTCTGCTCTGCTATGTTAGGTGCCACTTTGTCTGTCATTCTGGCTTTGTACTGACTGCATATTTGACTGGTATTTACTGGCTCAGCAGACTTCCTACTAGACTGAGATTTTTTTTAAAGCAAGAAGAGTCACATACCCAGGTTTACATCCCAAGCCCTCAGCATAGTGTCTAGAGTAGTGTTTCTCAAAACTTAGTATGCACCAGAATCATCTGGAAAGCTAATTAAAAGACTCCCGAGTCCCACCTTCAGAGTCTGCTTCAGTAAGTCCGGGTGGGGTTCATGGGTTTGCATTTACAGTTGACCCTGGAAGAGTACAGGTTTGAACTGCAGGGGTCCACTTATACGCAGATTTTTTTTCAATAAATACAGACTACAGTCCCACACAATCTGGTGGGTTTAATCCCTGGATATGGAACCTTGGACACAGAGGGCCAACTGTAATGTTACACCTGGATTTTTGACCGAGCCAGGGTCGACACCCCAACCCCACGTTGTTCATGGGTCAGCGTATAACGAGTTCCTGAGTGATGTTGGTGCTTCTGGTCTGGCAACCTGGGACCTCCTGGTCTAGATCATTCTAGGTACTCAATAAACATTCATGAAAGATTTCAAGGATGACTTTTTTATTTGATTTGAAACCAAATTAAAGCATTTCATAAGTTTACCCAGAGTAAGGTACACACTAAGTCCTTGCTACTCAGAGTGAGGTCCTTGAACTACCTACACAGCTATTACATAGGGACTTGTTAGGAACACGGAAGTTCTGGCCCTGTGCTGGACCTACTAAATCAGAATCTCCATTTTAACAAGATTCCCAGGTAATTAGTATACATGTTGAAAGTTGAGAAGCCCTGCTCTGGTGTGTGTTGTATATTTTCATTAGTATTGTTTTGGCAGTCGCTGTAAAACTGGCTTTTTTTTTTTTTAACATCTTTATTGGAGTATAATTGCTTTACAATGGTGTGTTAGTTTCCGCTTTACAACAAAATGAATCAGCTATATATATACATATGTTCCCATATCTCTTCCCTCTTGCGTCTCCCTCCCTCCCACCCTCCCTATCCCACCCCTCCGGGCAGTCACAAAGCACCAAGATGATCTCCTTGAGCTATGCGGCTGCTTCCCACCAGCTATCTACCTTACTTTTCCATTTGTGAATTTTCCATGTCCTTTGTTTTCTTACTGATGATAATGTTGAGTGTATTTGTTTCTCTTCTTGTTAAATGCACCAAGCTTAAGCTTTTAAAAAGCTTTACCTGTTTAAATTAGCTAATGGATTTAGGTTTAATCATTATTCATTGATCCTTCTTTGCTATCGATTTTTGAAGGCTGTAAGTTAAGAGCACAAGAGACATTATGACACCAGAACACAGAAGGAGGTAGGGGTAAAATGGCTAACTATTGAATTGGTAAATTATTTCAGCAAAAATATAAATTAATAGAGAAATGTATGAGAGATGAATTATACACAGAGAATAGAAATGCTTCAATCTGGTAACAGTTCAGCAGAATTTAACATTTCTGTTAAATTACAAATTACAATTTCTTAAAAGCTGTTGTAGACTTAAAAATTAACTACAAGTTTTAGTAATTTATTGACCTGTGCACCACTTTGTTACTTCTAAAAGTAACAAAGAAAACTAAATATATTTTTAACATAAATATGTTAAGAAATAATATTCTTCTTCTGATTTTTTTTCCTGATACTTGTTTGCACCCTGCCTAATTAGCAATATTTAGTAAAATTATAATTATTCATTAGCATGAATTAAGAATGTTTCTAATTACTATTTTAGATTATATATGAATTTGGTAGTTGCTAACCTAATGCCAGGTGTCCTAAATGTTCAAGCAAATGTTATTCCTTTCTGAGTCAGAGTAATTTGTTTTAAACAGAAAAAGTTTATAGCACATGTGAAATGTAATTATAGTCTTACTAGGTTGGATGTAGGGGAATTATGTAACAGAAGAAATACGTAAAAGCTGGAATTTAATCTACTTTAGTGTTTTAAAATATCTTTGAGGTTGATTGTTGCAGAAACAATGCATAAAAAAGAAACAAAAGTAATTACCTCTTACTAACAGAATCATTAATGTAAATTTGATAATAAGTACCTGGAACAGAAAACAAAAGAACAGCCACCCCTGAAGTCAACCATTCTACTAAAAAAGTGTACTAATAATCCAAGTTGCAAGTTATTATTATTTTTTTTAACATCTTTATTGGGGTATAATTGCTTTACAATGGTGTGTTAGTTTCTGCTTTATAACAAAGTGAATCAGTTATACATATACATATGTCCCCATATCTCTTCCCTCTTGCATCTCCCTCCCTCCCACCCTCCCTATCCCACCCCTCTAGGTGGTCACAAAGCACTGAGCTGATCTCCCTGTGCTGTGTGGCTGCTTCCCACTAGCTATCTATTTTACGTTTGGTAGTGTATATATGTCCATGCCACTCTGTCACTTTCTGCAAGTGATTTTGAAATAGGAAGCTGCAGGAGCTATTCATGTTTAGTGGAGCAACTAAATAAATGGTAATAAATAAGATTAATTTAAAAAGAGGGACTTTTATCTGATCAAAGCTTCAGTTTCATAACATAGTTCCAGTTCATAGTTCCATGAACTGAAAATGTTCTTGAGCTTTTAGAACTAAAAACTATTTATTGTGTTTACATGGTGGGTTGTTATAGTGAAGTACCCCCAGGAGAGAGCTGTCTTTATTGTGGAGCAGGACTAATCAGACAAGCTTATTCCAGTGACATTAATTATTCAAGTTCTGTAATTAACTTGACTTGTTTTGAGTCCATGAACCGTGTTTTAGTTTTTGAAGGCTGTGGGAACAAATACCACAAACTGGGTGGCTTATGTAACAGAAATTTTATTTCCTCACAGTCTGGAAGCTAGAAGTCCAAGATCAAGGTGTCCAAGATTGGTTTCATTCTGAGACCTCTCTCCTTGGCTTCTCCCTTTGTCATCACATGGTCTTCCCTCTGTGTCTTAATCTCCTCTTCTTATAAGGATACCAGTCATGTTGGATTAGGGCCCACCTCTATGACCCCATTTTACCTTAATTACCTCTTTAAAGGCCCTTTCTCAAAGCTCTCAGCCAGTCTGGATTTTGAGTCTGCAGGGCCCTGTGCCTGACTTTGTGAAAACCACCATTTATTTCATGTTTTATTTTCCAGTTGAAGAATCCACTACCAAAATTACTATGCTAGCCTAGGTTTCCTAGAGCCTACCACAAACAACAAGAAATATTCACCTGCTGCCAGTTCATTGGGGGGCACTATTTCTGGGAAGCAGAAGGGAGGAAAAGATGGAAGTGAGGCAGGCAGTGGAGGAGGGTGTACAAATATAGGTGTTACTGAGCTGCCATAGCTTTTCAACAAGAGTGGTTAATTGCTCAGTCTTTTAGGATATTTTCATGGATTATTGCACTTTGGAACAGCCTATCTTGGGGAGATGAAGGGAGAAGAATTTATCTACCAGCTCCCTCTTGTGCTGCATCTCTTTGGTCAAAATTCACCCTCCAGGGCTCCCCTGGTGGCACAGTGGTTGAGAGTCCGCCTGCCGATGCAGGGGACACGGGTTTGTGCCCTGGTCCGGGAAGATCCCACATGCCGCAGAGCGGCTGGGCGTGTGAGCCATGGCCGCTGAGCCTACGTGTCTGGAGCCTGTGCTCTGCAACAGGAGAGGCCACAACAGTGAGAGGCCCGCGTACCGCAAAAAAAAAAAAAAAAATTCACCCTCCAAGTAGGGTTGCCAGATTTAGAGGGGGAAAAAAAAGTCCCATGCAATATTTGTAACAGAATTATACTAAAAATGTTATTTGCTGTTTCTCTGCAATTCAAATTTGATTGAGTATCCTGTATTTTACCTGAACCCTACTCTCAGGACATTAACACCCACGCACTTCCAGGCAGCTGCAGGGGGAGCCATAGCCTCCACAGATCCCGTGCTCAGGCACAAAGGTCAGTTTCTTTTCCTCGGTACAGCAATGTGGTAGGGGTGATGGTGGGGGCAGTGGCAGCAACAGCAGCGGCTCCACATGGGACCACAGGGCAGCTCCAGGCCACTGGCCAGGAGGAAAAGCAAGAAGTTGAGACAGTGATGGGGAGGGGCATGTGCAGGAGGATGCAGGTATGGCTGCATGGATGTGGGATGATAAATAACATAATTTTCTGTAAAAATGAGGCAACATTCATTAAACTATCTTGTTAGTGTCGGTAGGACCATGTTGCACAAGACACTAGGAATATAGTCGTAAGACAGAGTTCCTGCTATCAGGAACTTACAGAATATAGCTTGAATATTGTGTTCAGTCCTGGTTTAAAGATACTTAATAGGGCTTCCCTGGTGGCGCAGTGGTTAAGAATCCACCTGCCAGAATGGCCATCATCAAAAAATCTAGAAACAATAAATGCTGGAGAGGGTGTGGAGAAAAGGGAACCCTCTTGCACTGCTGGTGGGAATGTGAATTGGTACAGCCACTATGGAGAACAGTATGGAGATTCCTTAAAAAACTACAAATAGAACTACCATATGACCCAGCAATCCCACTACTGGGCATATACCCTGAGAAAACCATAATTCAAAAAGAGTCATGTACCAAAATGTTCATTGCAGTTCTATGTACAATAGCCAGGAGATGGAAACAACCTAAGTGTCCATCATCGGATGAATGGATAAAGAAGATGTGGCACATATATACAATGGAATATTACTCAGCCATAAAAAGAAACGAAATTGAGCTATTTGTAATGAGGTGGACGGACCTAGAGTCTGTCATACAGAGTGAAGTAAGTCAGAAAGAGAAAGACAAATACCATATGCTAACACATATACATGGAATTTAAAAAAAAATGTCATGAAGAACCTAGGGGTAAGACAGGAATAGACACAGACCTACTAGA